GGGGAGGAGGGGGAGGAGGATCTGAAAAATCCCCTGTTCAACTCATCTCTCAGCGGTTCTGCTGCTGACGATAGGCTTGACGATGGTGGCGCAAACACATCATTTGTCGCTCCGTAGTGATCATGCGAAAATGGACGGCCAAGTGTGCTGGTGGTCTGATGCTCGCAACTAATTTACACGTAGAGAACTCCATACAAATTTACAGAACGATGGTCGAGAGTCAACTCGGTTCTGTAGAGTATCGGTTCGGGGGAGGGGTGTCATAGTAGAATAAAGACTCGATTCTCCTCCTCTTCCCTTCTCCTCTGCCTTCTCCTCCCCTCCTCCTTTCGTCTTTTCTTCCTCTCGTCCTCAATGGTCTTGCTCTTCTAACTCACGTCTTGCCCACCAACGCATTGTCATCACATCCCAGAGCTGACGTCATCATCATCGCCGCCACCACCATCGTCGCCACTGTTATCATCATGACCATCCATCATCATAATCATCCCTCCTCCTCCTCCTCACCGTCCTCCTCCCTGATCTCCTCTTCTCCTTTGCGCTTTGTTACTACTCTCCGTTTCCATCTTTTCCTCCCGTTTTCCTTTTTGTCAATGCATGCCGTCGTTGGCAAACCCAGGATACAAAATACATCATGAAGAGCCAGAGCAAAGTGGCAACAAACAGACCTCTCAAGAAGCAATGTGTAAATTGATGAATACACATACAGGAAGGACTCCTGAATATTGGGTAGGAGGTATCGGAACTTTGGGCGCTACACACGTTGAGGATCCGAGTGGTGATTCCCGTGTCTTGGTAACTGTGTTTGCACCACCATCAGCTGCCTTTCGTAATACCTGCGCTCTGGAATATCTACGCTCTTGAGGAGACCAATTGTCGCCGCGGGAGTGCGCTGCGCAGTCGTGATCATGGGAACACGGCACCATGCCTGTGCGATATGTCTATCCAACGCTTGAAGCTTCGACGTGGGATGTCACCCAGGATGGTTTCACAGGGACACAACAGATGTCGCTCTCTCTATCCCTCACTCTCTCTCTCTCTCGTTGTCTCTGGGATCCCCCCCCACACGCAGTTAAATCTCTCCCCCACTTCGTGCTTGCTTATACGCAGTGAAAATTCTCCCTCACTTCGTGCGTTCTTTCGCTGGTGCACCTTCGGTAAGAAACTACAACCGAGCTGAAACACACGCGACGGTCCAATCAATACCGGTCTTCTCCTGTCTCGACCGCTGAGGCCGTAATCATACAGGGGGCAGTGATCTGTGGTCCGTCTGAAGCACGGGTTACGGGAAAACCAGAAAACCGGCGCTATTTGGTTTTGAGGAAAATCAGCCCCGAGGCTTGCCGGTTGCCTTTTATTCCCTCTTCTTCTCTCTTTTTCTCCTCCTCTCTCCGTTCTTTTCCTCTCCTCTTTGCCCCGATCCCTGCTCGACTACTTCTAGTGCCCTCTTTCTCCCTACTCCCYACCGGCCGCTTCCTCATCTCTGCAGAGCCGGGGGCGGGCCGGGGGGGGGGGAAAGGGCCTGACGATGATTCAGGCTATTTTCAACGTAAATGAATTTTTGCGTGCATTGCCGAATCATACTGGATTATTGGCCGACTCTCGTGTGACACCTGTCGGGACAGAGACGCGGTGCGCCTTGGCTGTGGAATGCATCATCTATGCCATAGCCATTATCAATCTATTGCGATTGCCGCCCTGTACTGAAGGGTGTCCAACATTTCCTCATTGTACACATCCCTATCACCCAGATATACGTTGTCCCTTTTGTGCCCAAGG